AAAAAGTAATTAGTATAGTAATAGAAAGAGTAAAACTAATAAATGAAAAAGAAAGCAAAAGAACACTTATCTGAACGAAACACTATCGCTCTAAACCTAATTAAGCCCAACTACTTGGATCAATTCTTTTCACGCTTCAATCGAAGCTTTACGAATATTGGGGGTTGATTCAAATAGTTATAGTAGTTGTGGTAGTTAGAGTAGTTTTAGTAGTACTTGTAAAGTATTTTCTATATTTGACCCTAAAATTCTAAAATTCAATGCATCTTTTCTTTCTCTATGTAAGTACATAAGTACATAAATTTATTAAAATCTTTTATTAGTGTTAGAAAAATTTTTATATTCATCATTAACTTTAATAAAAAAAAATTTTAATAACTTATATATATATTATATTAGTATCAGTACAGTAGTATATAAAAGGGCCAATCATCAGAATATATCAGAGATCGGAAATGATCATTGATCATGTGATCGAGACATTTTTCTGACACGACTAGTCTACCTGTATAATAATATGTAGATTTCTTCTTGTTAGTATAAATTACTCATCAAAAAACTCAGTCTCTTATATTCTACTAAATTCTTAATCCTAGTTTAAACCTGGGTATAATAGAGAAGTCTACTATCAAGGATCTTTTGAATATTCATCATAGCTATTCAGTAAATATTTGCAGGTTTTGGATATTCACGAATAGCATTGGACAAATATCCAGATTTTGGATGGATACCCATATTATTATTCGTAAACGCAAATATTCACATGATTATTCATGAATCAATTATATTGATTACAAATGCCTCAACTATTCGTGAATTTGTATAACCAAATATTGGATATTTAATGGATATCTGTTTATAACTATTAATATTCATGGTTCTGACCTTTAATTGGAACTATATAAATCATTTGCCAAACTTGCTGCAATATTTATCATTTAAGAATTCCCAAAAATATCTACATAACAAAGAAAAAAAAAAGAATTTAGAATTTACTATCAAATACTTATTACAGAAAGAGATACATATTAAAAAAAATTGTAAGATTCTTAGATAATCTATACAACACAAGTGCGATTTAGAAGTAATTTTCATCCGCTTTTTGTAAAAATAAAATAAATTAGAATCAGAATTTTATATATAAAATGAAAAAAAGAAGTTATCGTGTGAATTTGACTTGATTGAATATAATTGTCTAATTTAAAGTGATAAGAAAAAACATATTTAATGCATCCTTTATAAAAGCTTTAATTAGTATTTTGTTTTATTTTATTAATATAAATAACAAACAAACAAAAAAAATATATAAAATTACCCTAATATCATACAATCTCAACCACCACCTGGTTTCATTATTCCTAACATGACAACTCAAGACAATCGTTGGACTGAGTTTTGGTATTTTGTGGAGAAAGTTGCAGAAAATCGATATACTGCCAAATGTTTTTATTGTAAGTTCGAGCTACCTGGTAGACTTGAAAAACTCTACAATCATGTTCTTACATATGGTAACTAGCCAGTTCTTGAAAAGAGCAGCTATATTAAGAAAGCCACTAGTTCTTTACCTAAAACTTGTAAAAAAGGTTTAACTAGCTCAGATCAAGAGCAATATGAATATATTTTTGCAAATAGCTTAATAAAATATTAAATATTTAACTAATATAGTTTTTACAGTACAAATGATGCAGCTGATAGCCCTTTCTCAGCTGCGTTAAAATGTTAAGATAATTTGGTGAGTTGGGTTATTAAACCATTATCACTAGATAAACAAGCTAAAATCGACAAAAAACTACTTAATGCTATTATTTATAGTAATCTATCCTTTAAAATCATCAAAAACCCCTATTTTCTTGAATTTTTTAATAAACTTGTACCAAATTATTATCTACTCTCTGCAGAAATATTAAGCACTAAAATTCTCAATAATTCATTTTTCACTTACCTAGCTAAAAAATTTGAAACAATGTCATCTCTCACTGATATTACTATTGTCTTAGATAGATAGCAAGATGTATCCTGAAACTCCATTTATGGTTTTATGGCTTTAAAAGAGGAAGAGAAGCATATTTTAGATATTATCAACCTATCAACAAATTGTTATACTGCAATCTTTCTTAAAGAGCAATTCGAAAAAATTCTTCAATTATGTTCAGTCTCTGTTAAATCTATTATTGCATGTATTACTGATAATTCTTCAGTAATGATCAAAATGAGAACTGACTTCACAAAGAATTATCTAATATAATTTCTATTCAATGTTGTCTTCATTTCTTCAACCTACTTGCAAAAGATATTTTTTCTTTCTAGCCTTTACTTTTAGTTATTAAAAATAATCAAAACTCATCAGTTTTTTTCACGTCTTTTTATTTTTGGCTTCGAACACTGCAAGATTGGCAAAAAAAGGAAGATATACGTTATTCACTTACAATATTCTGTGAAACAAAATGGTACTCTTTGGCAAAAGTTTGTTTGGATGTAAGGGTCTTTGAAAGAGGATTTCAACAATGTATTAATCTTAGCGAAACTAACAGTTATCCTACAATCAAAACAGAGATTCAAAATAAAGTTAATAGCCATTATTATTTTGCTAACAATGATATGCTAGTAATAGTGCTTATTCCTATTATAGATGCTATTGGTCGTCTAGAATCAAGAAATGCTATATTAGCTGATATATTCAAAGAATTAATTAATATTCATTATACTATTTCAAATACAAATATTCTAATTAACAGATTCAAAGATTATATGCTAGCCGCTATTGACAAACAAGCTCATGAATTTTCTGATAATCATATTTATTTTATTTCTCTTTTTCTGTCACCATACTACAAGCAAATCGTGATGTCAAAAAAAATACCTGGAATTTAATTATCAGGTCTTCCTTAGAATTAGCAAAAACTTGGGCTTTAACAAGAGAGATACTACTCTTTTATACAAAGAGCTTGTAAATTATAAAAATGGTGATGCCCTTTTGATTCTTACAAAAATATTAAAGATATTAATCCTAGAACCTTCTGGTCATGATTCTCTGGATACTCTCTACTTTTTCAACGATTTGCTATAAAGATCTTTTCAATCATTCCTATACAGCGGCTGTTAAACACTTATTTTCTAGCTTGGGGTTAGTAAAAACAAAATCACAAAATAGGATGTCTACTATCTTAATGGGAATATTTGAAATGCTTTATCACTATCTTTATCAAAAACTACCTAAATCATTAAAAAAAAAAGGTCCAACTTTATCTACAAATACTACAAATGCTACTGATACTGTGAATTCTAATATTGATCTTTGTTTGAGGAAGAAGGACTTGAAGAAAAGAATTTAGAATTTGATATCAAAGTGGTGAATATTGATATAAGAGATGAATTAGTAAGGGACATGACAAAAATTAGATGATTTTTTAGAGAAAAAGGGGGTAAAAAATTTAAAATTATATATAAAGGCCTGATCAAGATATATATGGTGCAGATAGCTTTAACTCTACAATCACGTGATTTTGTTCACTTTTTATTCATAGTAATCTTAACAGAATAAGCCAGAATTAGACTATCACTTAACTTAAAATAAGAGTGTATTATAAAAATTTTATCCAGTTAGCTCAGATACTAATAAAATTTAGTATATACATAGTCTGTATAAGATAATTTGATTGGTCAAAAAGAGAAAATATATACATTTACTTTTTGGCACATTTTTAATAAAATAGCTAAAGTTTAAAAGGCTACTGCTCTATTAGTTTAGGTTTAAATTTAAATTTAAACTACAAGTTTTGTTCTTAAAGACAAGAAAAACAAATCTTGTAAATTAATTTTATAATTTATAATTTTTTTTAAAAAAAGTAACATTTTTTGTAAAGCTATTTTTTATAGAGAGTTAAAGCTATCTGCACTATAGTAAGAGGGAGAGAGGGGTAAGCTTCTGATAAAAAAATCAGGTGATAAATAACATAGCCCTAATAGAAGAATTCTTTGACATGAATATATTCAGACAACATTAAGACAATGAGACCGTCTTCAAGAACCTATCACTAGTACTGAGTATTGGATGATTAATGATATTTTTTCTCAAGCTGAGGTTTAATAAAATTGTAATCACTATATGTAAATAGTTATAAAGGTTTAAATCAATATCAAGTATTTTATTTTTTTTTATAACTAAAAATATATACGTATATATAGTTGTATTTTTGAGACATTCTTCTATTATTTATTATAGTAGTTAGAATTTTTGTATATTATTTTAACTATATTATAAAAGAAAAGCAGATGTTTAAAAGTTTTGTGTTAAATAAATTACATATTATAATCATTTTATCATTATCATTATTTAAAGAAAGAAAGAATTAGATATAGATGTAACAAAAAAATTTGTGTAATACGTAGCATGCCAACAGCAGTATGCTATTGGCATAGATAGTATGCTATTAGCATAAATGGCATGCTATATGCATGCCAATTTGGCATACTAGACACTCTAGTAAAAAAAATTTGATGTGCGTATGTCTGTGAAATCATATCATAGTTTCATATTATTTCGCAATGCTGCTTCAAAATCTTAAAACTGTTAGAGAAGCAATGAGTTACATTTAGCACTAGTACAAGTTAAAGATCAGAAATTGGCCTAGTCTAATCCAACTTCAAAATTTAATACTATTAAACTATGCTCCACCTTTCTTAAGAAGCAGTATCTAATTCTTAGAAATTAGTTTTTCAAGATCTTTTGTTTTAATATTAATGCAAAAAGTTCAAGCTAGGTTGAAACAAAACCTCATAACGAACTTTTGATATTTTTAGCACAAATTAGTCATCATACGCACAATTAACCTTAGTTTCAAATCCTATTTAATCTCAACTTATAACCATATCCTAGCTGCAATAAGTAATTTAAAACTATACAGTAAAACCTTCAAACTTTAACAATGTATACCTTTTGAGTAGAGTGTGTACTTATGGAGAATTTACTATATATATTTTCAAATTTTGTTAGTTATTGATGCATGCTGTTCTTTATTTCAAAAATATCACTAACTGCTACGTGCTATTTTTACAGTTCTCAAAAATTTTTATATATCTATACAAGAAATCAAAAAACTTGAAAATTCTAATTAGCAAAGCTTAAAAAATATCTTAAACTCCAGAAATCTGAATCTTTTGACAACATGCTATTTGATAAGACTTGTATACAGTCAATTTTCTTAAAAGAATGATATTTGATACAGGCTAATCTATAGTAGTCAAAAATGCCAAACCATATAGTTTTTTAAAATAAAAATCATTACTATAAAATATGTACTATGTATTAAAATAAAACAAATTTTAATTGCATTGCTAAATAGTTTTATTAATATACACATATGAATTTAGCTTGAGTTTAATCACACTATAATAATTGTCTGAAGCAAAGCGGAGAACTCTTAATTTCTATGCTGGATGATACAAAAGTTATTTTTTTGATGCATCAATATATAATATATCAAAAAAGTAATTCTGTATTTTCTGTCTGTCCATTCACGTGATCTATCCCTTAAACTGTATTCCAGGCAAATTTGCTTGGAAAATTTAATTGTATTTAGTATTTTTTAAATAAAATAATA